GAGAGAGAGAGAGAGAGAGAGAGAGAGAGAGAGGGGTAGTTTTAGTTAGTGTTTTACGGCACTTGGAATACAGTAAGATCATATAAGTGGCGAAGATTAGAGGTGTTACAAGAGAGTAACATACACAAAAAAGGAGGGGATATAAGGACGATAGATGTTTGAAAGAAACAACATTATTTCTTTTGCACCATCTTCTTCGCGTGCCCTTCTCATTCCTTCCTTCTTTCTTTCTCCTTTTTTCTCCATTTCTTTTCTCTCTTTCTTTTTTTCTTTCCCAAAGGAAATGCGTGGCCTATTAGTCGATCTAGACGACCAGCATGCAGTATGCGCAGTCCTCAATTAACTCGTAAAAAGACGAGGCGAGGGGGGAAGATGGAGATGGAGGGAGAAGGAGGGGAGGGAAGGGGAGGGAGGGACAGAGGGAGGGAGAGAGAGAGAGAGAGAGATGGAGATGGAGAGAGAGTGGGGTTGGGAAAGGGGGAGGTAGAGATGAACAGAGAGAGGTATTACAGTGGTCAAGTCTTTTGAAAAATCTTCTACTTGGGAGGGGGGGTATTACAGTGGTCAAGTCTTTTGAAAAATCTACTTGAGCCCAAGAACATTATAGTTAACTAGCTGGGCCCCCTTTCGATGAAAGGAATGATCGGCGGTGCCTATACGTTCTTATACTAACCGTTCTAGGCCGGTGCTTTAATATAAGCTAAAAGTCATTGACCTACTATATTTACACTCTACTGGAATGGGGAAATAAATCTTGAGAGATTCAAAAAATTATAAGGTCTATATCTATAAACTCTCAAAACAAAACGCGCCTCGCGAAATATCACTTCCGGATTTTCTAAAATTACAGAGACAGAAGCGCCGACCTACAAAAGCGATCGGCGAAATAAAGAAATTTTGCTTTTTGCAGCACAACTGTCTCAAAACTGAAAAAAACAAGGGTGCCATGCTCTGGAGAATATTTTAAAGAATTTTTTGGCGAAAACCGCATGTCGGTCGATGCAGCCATTAAAAAGCCTTTTGAATAGCAAAATTCGGCCACCACAAATAGATAATAGAAGTCCGTGTCCAGTTGAATTATCGTTTCATTCTGTACTAACTCTGGATTTTTTGGATGAGTGCATGTGCATGCTTGTGTGCATGTGCATGCTTGTGTGCACTGTACCACGACAACAGTACACAGACGTACTCACAAGAAGCTACAACGATGAACGTCCTTGACATCCAGTTAGCGTTGTTCTGGATCCACGTGGCCTTGACCCTGGCTTTGATAGAAGTGGCCATAACCTCTGCTGGGAGGTACAGCTGCAGGGTGTAGGTTAAGAACACCGCCACGGAGTACACGATAGACACAGCGTCGTAGAACCTGTACAGACCACACACACACACATAGATACAGCGTCGTAGAACCTGCACAGACCACACACACGATAGACACAGCGTCGTAGAACCTGCACAGACCACACACACACACACACACACACACACACACACACACACACACACACACACACAGACACACAGTACAGTCGCCTTGTTAGTGAGTGTCGTGTTGTGTTGTGTTGTGTTGAGATTGAGGAAGTCTGCATCCAGCTCTTCGGATGTGCCAAGCCCAACTGGTTTTTGTTGTTGTAGGTAGTGGTGGTGGTGTTATTGGTGGTGGTGGTGCTGGTGTTGTTGTTGTTGTTGTTGGTGGTGGTGGTGGTGGTGGTGGTGGTGGTGGTGGTGGTGTT